TTCATAGTCGTGCAAAAACGACATCATACTCGACTATTCTGTCAGGAAGACAGAGATAAGGTTAGTGTTGAGACTATGGATAGGAGATGTAACCAGGACCCTAGAGAGGAAAGGTTTGAACAATGCACCTACCTATATCCTGCAGCTAGCCTCCACTACACATTGTGAGTAGAGAAGAGAGAGGATAAGAGATGTAGCCAGGACCATAACGAGGGGTAATTTGCCACTATCCTCAACAAACCATCCCAACTCCTATAACACTAGTCTCCCTCACATCCGTTTTTAGTGTCGGTCGTCACACAACGCTACGGATGCGAGGGAGACTACTATAACACAGGCTGCATGGCATGCCAAATGTAAAGGGCATAGACAGCACTCTGTCAATGTCAGTAGCTATCATTAATCGTTTTTACTGGATTATTKTTGTTACAGTGTGGAAAGAGTGGCAACATTCCTCCTGGTACTACAGTAGATCATGGTATCACGCACCCTACCGAATTTGACTTCTTCCTTTGCAGTCATGCGGGGATACAGGTACCATTCCTGCTAATTCTTGTTATTAGTTCCTTGTTATTGTAATCTAAAAGGCCCGTTCATAATATCAATTTTGTCGCACGACTTGAGCAACAATTTTGTTTTTGAGCTAAAAATTTCATAATAGTGTATAACACATTGTTTCTGCCAGGGAACCAGCCGTCCATCACATTATCATGTGCTGTGGGATGAYAACAGGTTCACTGCAGACGAGTTGCAGGCTTTGACTTATCAACTGTGCCATACATATGTCCGCTGTACRCGGTCTGTGTCCATACCTGCCCCTGCATACTATGCTCACTTGGTTGCTTTCAGGGCTCGTTTTCATATGATGGATCAAGATAAGGAAAGGTATGGGGATATTATTATTGTTATTATTATTATTATTATATTATTATTATTATGATTATTATTATTATCATCATCAGAGTGTTATATTTGGAAATCCGCCACCTTGTATTTTTCATACGAACTACATCTGTGACCTCTGGCATATTTTCATATTTTTATATTTTAGATGTCACTTTCGAGGTTTTCCCATCCACCCTAATGCACGCTGCAACAAGTGTTTTTTTATACTTTTATATCACCATTAACATCATTATCATCGATACATTATCATCATTACCATCAGTGTTGACATATAATCATCATCATCCTCATCATCATCATTATCATCACCCCATCTTACATTCATCGTCATTCATCATCATTCATCTAATTTACTCTAAYGATTTTTATCACATCATCGATATTGGCAAATCATGACATTCAATCTTGGTGTTTTTCCATAGTAACGAGAGTGGCTCCGGCAACAGYACAGGAGATGACTCCAGGCCACCTCAAATCTTAGCCAAAGCTGTCCAAGTACATCCAGACATTCTTCGCGGGATGTATTTTGCTTAACATCTTTYTAAAGCAAAAGCAGTCCTAATTTAATTTTATTGGTATTTTGCTTTTATTAGAGTGCATGCAGTAAAACAATAAATAAAAACAAAGTCAATACTGACAAAATAGTAGCTATTTAGTGACTAATAGTTGCTGTCACTCAACCAGAACATCATTACACAAAAGACACAAATGGTCACTTGTGTATTTGTCTTTGTGTAATGAATGTTCTGGTTGAGTGATATCATTTACTGAATAGTAGAGTACAAACACTAAAAGTGTGTAACATAAATACCATTAAATACTGCTAAATTATGCTAATCCTATTGTTTTCTATTGTTTAATTAGCACTATTTACTACTAAAGAGTGCAAAGTGTTGCACACTTTTAGGGTTTGTACTCTACTATTTGTCAGTATCAACTTTGTTTTTATTTCATGGTTTTACTGCAATGCTCTCTATGTTAGTATGATTTTTGTCATTTCTTTTTAGTTTTAAAACTTATTTTAAATTGAAAACTCTAATGTTAATTAATTATAATAATGGCTCATATTTCGATCACCAATCACAAAGAAACCTACCACCCCTATAAAATAATTAGATGCAAACCTTAGAATAAGATAGTTATATAGTATAAGGGATAGAGATTGAATCTCAACTTAAACACTGTAAACAGTTCCCAAATATATTTTATGAGGCTTTCAAAAAGGCAAAATATTATAAATATCTTTTAAAAGAAATAAATATGAAGTAATTAACAATTCTTTCTTTCTGTTGTCCCTTTTTATTCTCGTAATTTCTCTTCTGTTCATTTAATTTTTGTTTTTTCTAATGGTTGGCTAGAGCTGTGCTCCTGGGTCATACATGGACCGTATAGTGGCTACCAGAGGTGCATTCACATGCTTCCAGTTCAACCCTGTTGAGCTGTGCCACAGGGTTATCCATAGACTTTATTCTTTCTTTCTGTTGTCCCTTTTTATTCTCGTAATTTCTCTTCTGTTCATTTTCTTTTTGGTTTTTCTAATGGTTGGCTAGAGCAGTGCTCCTTGGGTCATACATGGACTGTATAGTGGCTGCCAAAGGTGCATTCRCATGCTTCCAGTTCRACCCTGTTGAGCTGCGCCGCAGGAATATCCATAGACTTTATTCACATAGTGACGCCAAGATCTTTTAATTGCTTTTCTGGTTTAAATTTAAAAATCCTAATGATATGAGATTCAGAACAAAATTTTGAAGAAAAAATTCTCCCTTCCGGAAGTAAATACTCCCGGAAGTATTTTCTCGTATGACATCACGGTTCACCACTACCCAGGCTTCTCTCGCTCTTGTCACAAATAATATTCAACTTGTTTTGTTGAAGGAGAAGAAARCTTATTGTAGGCCATAATATTGCTAAAACATCCCACTTGGAAAAGCCACTGCCCAAATAAGAAAAAAATGTAATCATTCATGGTTTTCCAGGAATTGTTTCTTCGTATTTTGATTGGTTATTATTGGTTATCGAACGAGTGTTCCACGAATAATTTTCAGCTCGAATTCCAAGAAAAGTGAAAACGCAGCAAAAATTAGAGCTGTCAGCAATAATCCTAGCGTGAAACCTCGAAAAAATGTCTTTAGAAATTACTTCGTAAGGTTTTTTGTTTATCCTATTGCAAGAGAAATAAGTTGAGTGGAGTTTAGAGCGTGAAAAATGGCGAAGAAGAAAGGAAAAGGACGAGGGAGAGGACGAGGACGAGGACAAACCAGCGGAGGACAAACCAGCGAAGGACATCAGGAAGTTGGTCAAAAAGCAGCCTCGCAAGAAGGTAAATGGCTAAACATTTCTATGCTTCCTCGCATTAATTGGTCTCCAGAATAAAACCATAGGGCTTTTAAGTGAGACTATYATATCAAGCCTAGAATAAATTGTCACTCATCATTTTCCAGTGTTATGAACGGAGTATTAGA